TAATGCATGATTCAATTTGTTTAAAAAAGGGTAGTTAACAGCCAGGAATGGGATGGATGTAGATTAACAAGAGGGACAGAGAAGAGACTGAAAGAATGAGACTACCTGAGAGATGGGTCATAAAGGGATGGAGTAAGAGTAGTTAGAGAAGCTAGGGAAGGATAGATTAAAGAGACACTTTGAAGGTAGTATTGACAGTGCTTAGTAACTGATAAGATGTGGGCATGAGGGCCAGAAGGGCATCAAGATGACTTGGGTACATAGCATGGATGACAGGAAGACACTGTTCCACAATGATACATTGTTTGCTGTGGATAGTTCATGAGTTCAGTTTTGTACACATTCAGTTTCAACAAAAGAATGTAAACTTAGGATCTGCTTTTTCTCAGATAGCCTTTTGAGAAGATATGCTTTGACTGCTGAGGTCTAAAAATAGTTTCCAGCTGTCTAGCTCTGTGCTCAAGTGCTTTGTTTTGGGGCGCTGGAATATTCCTTTTCTCTAAGACCTGCCACTTCTATTGTCTAAAATTTCAGTTAACAAAAAATAAGGGGTAGTAGTTTTAAACATTTTTCTCAATAGCTTTTTTTTTTTTTTTTGTCATCAGTAGATAATTTTTATAACTAAAATTTGGATGTAGTAACTTTTGTTAATAAGATGTGTGAACAAAGAAGCATAAAGGTTGGGGTTCTAGTTCAATATATGCCAAAGCCTCTGATCCTGAAAAAGATTTCTTAGTTGTTGTGCCATCTGCTTGGACACTAATTAATGGTTTAAAAATAGATAATCTTTTGGAAGCAAATGACATGAAAATAACGGAAAATATAGCTCTCATAAGCCCACATTATAGAAAGGAATGATGTGTTTTTTAGGCCTTCATTAAGAACAGGCTGAGATGAGCTGTTTAATAAACATTCTGTGCACGTTATAATTTAATTAGAGAGAAGGAGACAGCTACTTCAAAGAACAGGAAGGCAGGGTTATTGATTAGGCACTTTCATAGGTCTCTTCAAACTATTGCTGGTGATCAATTTTTAAACATTGCCTAGTAATGTGTGCACTCAAACCTATATACAAAAGATGAATCTTCTCTTCCCATCCCTTAAGTTTATACTAAATAAGTATGAAAGATGACATACACATCATCGCCCCACTCCAGTGGACGTTCCACCTCCATCTTCTCTTTTACGACTGAACTTCTTGTACAAGCTGCCTACACATGCAACGTGTTTCCCCACCTTCCACTCATTTCTCAACCCACTGTAATATGGATTCCACCCTTACAAGGCCAGTGAAATCATTCTCAGCAAGGTCACCAACGATTTAGATGACATAAACCTAATGAAGACTTTGTCATGTTTGCCCTCTGAGCAGCTCTGCTGTGGACAGCCTCCCTTCTGCAAACATTCTTTCCCTTGGTTTCCATGGAACCATACTGTCTTGGCTTTCCTGTTACCTTTCTAGATGCTTCTTGTCTCCTTTAAAGTTCTCTGCTCAGCTTATCTGACACATTGTCCCTGCCTGATCTCAGTTACTGCCCCATCTTCAATACAATCTCCTGCTGATGACTCCAAATGTATCTTAAACCTAGACATGTTTCTCTGAGAGCCAGATCTATGAGGCATCATGTCCTAAAGTCTCCAGGGAACTTCAAATACAAGTTCCAAACAGAACTCATTATCTTCCTGCCCCCGTCCTAAAATGGCAGCAGTAGCTTAATTGGGAACAACCCACAATCTGCTTCAAATTCCATTTCTGAAATTCAACATTTTGGATTAATCTTTGGTGGTTTAAAAAAAAAAATCACTGGCCACTTCTGAATTCTGTGTATTTTTCTATCCTGCTTAGTAACCATTTTGTGGTAGATAACTGCCCCCACTGCCGTTGAGTCGATTCTGACTCATAGCGAACCCTGTAGGACAGAGCAGAACTGCCCCATAGGGTTTCCAAGGCTGTAATCTTGAAGCAAGCAGACTGCCACATCTTTCTCCCGAGCAGTAGCTGGTTGGGTTTGAACGGCCAACCTTTCAGTTAGCAGCTGAGCACTTTAACCACTGAGCCGCCAGGACTTTTGGTAGGTGACTTAAGAGTTCTTAATTTGGTTTTAAGAGAAATGCATCAAGAATTTGTGAAGTAGCAAAATCTTGGTAATTATAATTAGCCCATCTTTCCCAGTTTGACATACCAGAAAGGCCTCCTCAGAATGGCTGGAGGGTAAGTGTATTCCAAATTCCTTTCTTGTTCTCCCAAAGCAGTGCTCTCTGCTGTGTACACACACTACGTGTTAACAATCTTTAAAGGCAGGGAAAGAGTCTTATATCCGTATCTCCCAACTAGCCTGGCACAGTGCCCTATAGCAGAGAAAGTGTGCACTTATTTTTCAATTGGGTGTCACTTTTACATAAGGCAGATGAAAAGAAGTATATTGTTTTTAAGTAATTCCTTGTACAAGAGATACTTCAGAGAGCAGGCAGTGTAACTAAATGAGTACTTCCACCTTCCAATGTTTATTAGCTCTATTGTTGGTTACGTTTTTTTAGAACGAACCATTTTACTAGAATAAGGCATAATGCAAAGCTGCTTACGATCCCTCTACCTCAGTAGTGAGGTCAGATAATAGTAAGATTACAGAGATCAGCCTGCACAATCCTTTTCCATTTCTGGTTAACACTATCATCTTCCAGAAAGAATTAAACAGGGGAATAATTCCTAGGAGTTCCCTTCCAATTCCAGTAATTCCCATTGGTGGTAGAACTGAAACACTGAACACTCACTTGGTAGACTACTAGAAAAAAATTTCAGGTTGGGCAGTTGAAAGAAAAGCATGACAAAACACTTGCCAAATCCACCCCCAATTTACCTACTCTCAGCATTACCTCCCCCAAATAATTCCTCAAATAAAAAACTGAGTGAGTCAAATCCGAATTGAAAGCATTGCAACCAAAAAAGCATTTTGCTGGTGCAGCTAACCAAGGCTTGCGGGTGTGAGCCACAGATCAGAGACACTTGCTATCTGCTCTGTTCTGATGAGCAGCAGATGTGCTTGTCAATCAGCTTTGCAAGAGGAGTTGGTGGGGCTGGACAGACGTTTGGGAAAACTGCTTAGAGCAGCAAGCCTCGGAGCGACAGTCGTATCAATACAAACCACAGCAGCTCGTAACTCATGTCAAACCACATCAACCACACCCTCATCTGTCCTGGATACATACTATACAGTTTCTTGCATAAATTACCAACATTTAAGTCTTATGCTTGGCAAATTATAATCCATAAAGACTGTGCATCTATTGCTACCATGTCTTCCCTCTTTCATTGGTGAGCTGTTCTTTTCCTCCTTTAGGAGGAAGTTCAACTTTCATTATCATATTAGAGATTGCTCAACTACAGCCGAAAGGTTGGCAGTTCGAACCCACCCAGAACTGCCTCAGAAGACAGGTCTGATGATCTGCTTCCACAAGGTCACAGCCTTGAAAACCCTATGGGGCAGCTCTACTCTGCACACATGGGGTTACCATGAGTCGGAATCAACTCGACCGCAACTAACAACAGTCTATTCCCCTACTCCTATTTGGGATGTTATCTGTGGGAAAAGTAATAGTGGTTATCGTGAAACAAGCTTGAAAAATCCTAGTTTAAACCAAGTTAAATAGGTTCCTTTAAGCAGGACTTCTCAGATCCTTTAATATAATGTGCATTGTTACGTGTCTCCAAGGGAGTAGAGGGTAAAGTATACAGCATGTACAAAGCTTACTTGCTCGTCGAACTCTTTTCATGGAACATCTCTGTGGGATGACGGTTTCATGGAACACACTCGGAAACACTGGTTTAGGCACGTTAGTTTTTATGGGCTAGCTTGGTACTTACTTTATAACACAGATTCTATTAAAAAATCATGTTCTGAGTGTGAAACATCTAGCTGAGAAACAAACTTGTAAACCATCTAATCACATACATTTAGACATTTCCAGACACTGAATATTTGTGCTTCTGGGAGATTTTCTCCAAATGGCATATAAACCCCAAACAAAATCAAATTGGTTTCAATTTTTCAGATTAAAACAAAAAACAGAAACCCCCATACTACACATATGAAAAATGTTACTGCTGAAGCACAAGATGTATATCAATAATCCAAATAAAGTTTATCTATAAGGTACAATTTCTACAATGAGAAAATTTTCTGTATCTTAAAAATCATGGACTAAAGAGCATGAAATCGTTAGATCTAGATTTGGATCCTGTCATTTACCATGTATGAAACACTGAGTAACCTAGCCAAGGGCATTTCCTCACAAAGTAATACCTACTTTGCATGGTTGTTATGAGGATTAGACAGAAGGAACCTAGCACCACAACGCTGGGCAAGAATAAATAGGTTCTCAATAAATGGTAGGTATTATTATTTCCACAACTAAACAAAGAAACTGCTCGGCCACAGTGTAGCCCCAGATCCATCCCTGGTATCCAGAACACCTGGCCAAAGGAATATGGTCTTGAAATAGTGGGCAGCAAGAAAACACAATCTACACACAAGCAATTTCATAGTATTGTGTTTTATTATTTAAAGCGGAAAAAAGTAAGTAAAATTAAAGTCTAGGGAAAAATTGCATTTCACTTTAATCGTCAACTTAAAGTTACCCTTATTTTAACAACCCATTTATACTATTAAATGGATATTAACGAGACACCCCTGCTGAACTTCAGACTGAAAAATAAATAGACAAGATGACATCAAAAGATTTAAGCAGAGGAGGTGATATTGATAAAAGTTGAAAGTAAAATCGACTTTGACTAGAACTGAACGGACACACATAACCTTCTCCAAAGGAAAAGCTAACCTGAATCTTAAACGCTCATTTTCTGCACAGTCCAATCCCATGTCAACTAAGTAGTCATGACTTGAAAATATTTTTACTTAATTACATTTGACTAATTACCTACAATCCTACTGAGCATACTATTTGGTATATCTCACTCCTCTGAGGTAACATCTACTTTCTGAAGCCAGGGATGAGAGTTTCCTTGTGATTTAAGTTTCAAGAAATAGTTTGTAGAAAACACAAGAATCAGTTGTTTAAAGGTCTTACCTTTTCCTCACTGTATAGCGGCTATTTCTACAAATAAAAAGAAATCTATGTACTTTCTAAGAACTCAAACTGGGAAAACCCAAAACACAGAGCTCTGTGAGAGAGTGGACATATGTATGCACATATGTACAGGCTTAATCTCCGAATCTCCTCCAAGGGGTTAAATAGATAACATTCGAAATTCAGAAAGCAGAGATAAGCATTGTTTTGTTTGTAAATCAGTGGTTTAGTTTACTAGCTAATATGTTTTAGTTAGAATACTGCACCTGCAGTTCAGAGGTACTTTGGAGCCCATTTAAAAAAAAAAAAAATCAAAATAATAAGCACATTCTTCTAATAGCAAAAAATTCTCCCACTTTTTATTCTGACATACTGATATTTCCATAAACTTGCAAGTGGAAGATAACCTGCTCAGTAAAAGTAATTTCATATATACAACATACATAAATTACTTAAAAAGTCTGTTCATATAATGGATTCTTTTGGTACAAATAAAAATTAAGATACAAATAAATGACTGGAAATGAAACCATCACTAAACTAAGATACACAGGAACTGCACTTCATTTCAGGAAAAAATTAAAATAATTCTTAACGTGTTAGAAGAATAAAGTTCATTTGTTACAGTATACATTATCATATTCCCTTAAGGTAGGGACTATTTAAAGTTTTTTATATTAAGACATGTTCAAGCTTACTTCTGTGTACATTCAGGAACTATAATCATCACTGGTGCACACAATTCTCTCATCATGCAAAAACCTCAGCTGTTTTCTAAGATCTAAGTTAGGTCAAACAATAAACTAATAATGGCAATTAAATTAGCAAGCTGTAAACCAGGGAGGTGTAGACATTGAGCAGCTGAATTGTATTTCCTGTCTATAGTACTGCTGCTACTCAGTTTATTTACTCCACGTAATAGGCATTGATGGTAAAAAGAAGAATTTCATCATTGCAGAATGATAGAATACCTGTGAGAAGAAAGAGTTCCTAATGTATTGACAATTTTTAGGATACTTTATAAAGAACTGTCTGTATGTGTGGAAAGCAGTGGGGAACACAGGAAGGAGGTGAAGAAGGTATGTGAAAGGAATACCAAGATAGCTAGTTTAGAATTATATTTCTTAAAAAAAAAAAAAAGCATCTGAAATTTGCCCATCTAGTGTACAAAAAAACAGAGCAGAATTCAGTGCAAGTCTAACCCAATAATTTCTTTGTGGAAAAAAGCTAGTTTTGATGAGAAAAAGTTCAATCCTTTCTTTCTAAACACAAAGAAACTTGACAAGAATTTTAAAGGTAGTAGGCCTAAAAAATGCAACAGTAACTTATAATCTTTTCCAATTAAACAGACAAATCAAGTTGAAGACAAGTGTTAAAATAACTTTTCAGCCTGAATATTGGCCTATACAATCTGTTGTTCTAATTGGCTTTTGATTAAAAACAAACATGTTTTTATAACAGCAACCACATCTAGAAGAAAATAAATTAGTTCCTCTCCCCCCACAAAAGATAGTTTAACCTCTAAAGCATAAAAAGCTATATATAACATCTTATACAAATTAACCAGTGTTCTTATAAAAGTAATGTCGTTTTGGACTAATGACATTATGCTGTATTTGTGGTGAAGTACTAGGCACAAGAATATATGTACCCAATAGGCATTTTCAGTCTAATCAGTCTCTAAGGTTACCATTTAATTCTTGGCAATATATTATAACTGGTATACATTTCAGTACTTAAGTCATGAATTGTAAAGAACAAGGAGGAGTGTATTATAGTAACAGGGTTTGTATCTGACAACTGCAGTGTTGAACAGATCTCTTCTATGAACTATGATTTGTTTTGCAGCTGGTCACCTGTAGTAGATCCTGCAAAGACAAAATAAAAAAGCCAACATCATTTGTTGTGTATTGCCAACTTTGGAACTACCTGAGCTAAAAGTTCCCTACCATTGGCATGGATGATAAACAAAGATTTAAAATACAAACAAGGTTATACTTCATATATGCTAATATGAAAGAAACTGTATGCCCCATAAATGTTCTGAAGAGTAGAAGAGAAGCATCCACTTGGATGCAGAAGAAACACGTTTCAGATTGAACACTTCTGTGAATAAATCATAGGTGGATAGCTAAGATTTTATTACAAGTAAAATGTACTGAACAATAAAAACAAGATTTATACTTATTATCTCAAAACTATGAAATATTTCCTTAGAGTCCAAACATGCCACTTTCCTTTCTATAAAAATAGGAATAAGACAGGTAGAGGTGGGGGAGGGAGGAGAACTTCAGTGCTCGAAAAGTAGTGGGTTCCTGGAGATTTAAAAAGCTGGTAAGATAAGGGTCCAAAAAGCGGAGGAGGAGGAGTAAGGATCTTACTTCCCTAAGACTTATTACGTAGTCTTCCGTGTCCTCGTGGACTTTATGATATTAAGCAGGATATATCATGTGTAAGGAGTGCTTCATCTCCAATGAAAAAGAATCAGGCATGAAGCTGATGAAAATTTTAATCATTATACTTTAGACAAATGAAAAAATACATTTGTGTACCAAATGTGTGAAATATAATATTTTATAAGCGGAGATGGGCAAAAGGCTGGAGTTGTTTCTTAAAAGCCATGGCTCTAAAAAAGAAAAATCCCTTTAAATCTCTGGCACAGTGGTGCTAACACAAATTTCCAGTGGCAAATGAGGGGTATTCCTAGTGTATTGCTACCGTCACTGGGAGTTGATACTGAGAGTCTGAGTAGAAACTGATGAAAAGTTTTCACCAAAGTAACACTCACTTTGAATACATCAAAAGAAGCTACTGAAATATAGGTGAAATGGAAGACAAAGACTCCAGGGCAATTAGGAGATAGGTCACCTAACAAAGGATAACAGACTTAAGAGGGAGAGAGAGAAGACACGTAACAACAACTACTTCAGATGAAGTCTGCCAAGTTAAGTGTACGGTATATACAGTGGAAATGAAAATGTTGTGTGAAACAGTATAAAAGGCTAAAGCATGACACGGAATAACAAAAACCGCTGTGATCCTGACGCTGTAACGAGACAGTGACTCATTAGAATCTCTCAAAGAATCACTCAGATTTCATACTGTGTTCACCAAAACAGTATAATAACAACTTTCCTAACACTTAATCATCCTAGGCACAACACATTACAGAGTAAGTTACACCTCCACTAAAAACTATCGCTTTGCAAGCACAAAGAGTGGATAATGGGCACAAAAATTTGCATCAGTGGTATACAAGATTACCTTTCACTGAATACCAGAGTAGTTAATTTATTAAAAATAAATCAATAAAATCTATTTCCTATGAATCTGATCAAGAGTTGCTAGGCTGCAGAGACTATTTAAAAAAAAAAAAAAAAATCCAATAACTTGTCCATCCAACAGCCAAAAGAATCAACACTGGAAAGATACGACATACTTTGTAACCTAAGACATGTCAAAAAAAATCTTTCATATTAAAAATGTTTCTTTTAAAAAAGTTTAAACTTTTAGATTAAATTAAAATTCAGATGAAATATTATGACAGATAAAATATGACCCAAAACACTACAAACAAAATACAGACAACATCATCGCCTGAAGCCAAGTAAATCATTAAAACATAGCCATATGATTTAAGACCAACAAACAGTCTTAAATCAGATCAACTCTGGACATAAAACCTTTATTATTTTGAAACTGGCCACAAGGGTTGAAATTTTAGAAACTTTTGGCATAGTCAAAAAATGAATCTCAGCAAAATATTCTGAGGTCCTTCACAAGTTTAAAGCAAAATAAAGTGTATTATTTTAGGCACAAAGGATCACAAGAGTCTCAGTGATATTTTCAAAACGTCTAACCTTGATTTGATTCTTCCGTATTCATCTTTTCTCCATCTGTAGCCTCTAGCATTTCTTCATCTTCTTCATCCTCATCATCATTTAGGTCTTTTGAAATTAATTGCCTAGCTAATTTAATATTCAGTCCTTCGTTGTAGTGAAGCTTCCTTTTCATTTCAAACTGTCGCTTTTTTTCTATGAGAGAATAAGAGCAGGCTTAGGAAGTCTTTAGCTCAAGAAGTGGCAAACTAAACTCAGCCCAAGCCTGTTAATAAAGTTTTATCGGAACACAATCATGCTCATTACTTTTTGTAATGTCTAAGGCTGTTTTTATGCTCAGTGGCAAAGTCGAGTAATTGTAAGAGATCGCATGGCCTGCAAAATCTAAAATATTTACAATCCGACCCTTTACAGAAAAACTTGGTCAACCCCTGCTTGAGATGGTTCAAATACATATCTATGAAAGAAGAGGAATAAGATAGAGACATTAGAAATTATATTTGTGAAGACAATTTAAAGATATGGAAAAATTATCCAGAAAAAGCTGAATAAGAAAAAAATAATACAATATATACAATTTAATTACGTACAAGCCCTGTAAGGAGCCCTGGTGGTGTAATGGTTAAGCACTCAGATGCTAACCAAAAGGTAGGGGTCTGAACCTACCCAGTGGCTCCATGGGAGAAGAGATCTGGTGACCCGCTCCAGTAAAGATTACAGCGTAGGAAATGATGGGGTAGTTCTACTCTGTCACACTGGGTCGCTGTGAGTCAAAATGGACTCCATGGCACACAGAAACAACACAAGCCCTGTGCCCATGTGCATACATGTGCACCACACAAACACATATACACGGAAAATAAGTGTATTAACGGTAGTTAATTCTGGGCCAAGGAACTATGGGGTGCTTTCAATTTTTCCAAGTTTTCTATTTTTATTATTTAAAAAAATTCCTTTAAAAAAATCCTTATTATCCATTAAGAAACTGCTGTGATTTAAAAAACACTGCCAGCTAAAAACATAACCTCAGGATTCCTGGAATTTTTAGGTTCTAAAAATTTTTTAGGTTTTTTAGAACCTAAAAATTCCCAGAGTAATTTTAAGAAAAACCTGTTATAAAGAAATGGTGAAGTGATTCCAGATTATTCTTTCATTTATAGTCTTCACCACAGAAACATAAAGCTGGCAGAAATTCAACCAACTGACCACGTTTTATTAATAGACAGCACTTTAAAGAGCATCTGTTTATGAAGAAATAGTTGCACAGTCTTTCAATTTCTTAAAAAAAAAAGAGGGGCCACATAAAACTGTCAACTATTTTGTCAATTAAGAGCATTAAAATGCATTCACCATTGTTTATTCAAGTATTCATAAAATGTTTTAATGTCAAAAAGGCATAGACATCTCTCAAAATAAACATCAACCCTTTAAATTTATTTTTGGAAAACTCAGTCCACTGTCACTTTATGCTGATATACACTAATTAGCATTAAGATTTCATTTTCTAAGTGAGCAGATTTTTTTTTCAAGTCTAAAGGCTTTTCAAAGTACTTTCTCAATGTCCTCGAAGTTTTTTAAATCATCATCTATACTTCTATTTTAAAAACAGGTATTTACAGTTCATGTCACTACTGATCACTTTTCAGCCTCTACTTGAGTTGGGAGAGAGGGAAAGTTCTGAGTCATCCATATCATCATCCCATAAACATTTGCTTCACAGGACCAAGATCTGGCCTGGCATCTCTCCTTTTCTCTACTTATAAATTACTCTTGTGATTTGTTTTGCTATTTGAAGGTGCCTTACTGCAGAGGAAAGTAAAATAAAAAAGAAAACAATAAAAAGGTCAAATCCTCATGACTAAATTTTTAGCGATGTCGTACAAGTATTCAGATAATGTAAAAGCAATATTAAAAACATAACAAAAATAATGGTTCTAATTGCCTTCAATACCTTAGACAAATTTACTGAAAAGGTAACACTTTTTCTCATTACAAAGTAACACACGTTCGTGGTAGAAACTAAAAAACAAAAAACAACAACAAAAAAACCTTTTAACTTCCTTACTCAAAAATTAGCATCAACAGTATTTTAAGACTCGACTTTTTTTCCAAAAATATGTTTTATAAAAACTAATCGTATATTGCTCGAGAGGCTGTTTTTTCTCTCAACATATAGTTATGGTGACCATGCATCTCAGTTTACTCAGGGTTGTTTCAGTTTATGCCTATTATCTGATGTAACCATTAATAGCAACCCTTTAACTCTTAAAAGTGTCCCAGTTTAGACAATAACGTATATGGACTGTGAGGTGCAAAAAGCAATTTGGCCTTTGTTCTCAGTTCCTGAGAGCAGGACCAGATTCAGGCTAATGAGTAGGGGCTGTCCAGACCAAGAAGGACCACCTCGGGGCCTGATGTTGAGTAGCCTCAGGAGGCAAGATATAGTCTATCATGGCCACTTGGGGAGGCTGATAAAAGCCCTGAACCCGAAGGCTCAGATGAGCTTCCTAGTTGGCGAGAACATCTGCTCTTAGGAGGGTAACGTGTTCCTTGGGACATAAAAGCTCCATGTTGGGAACCTTCCTAGATCTCACCCTATATGTCTTTTCATTTGTAATCTTCTTGGTTGTAATAAATTTATAGTTGTAAGTATGGTATACTCCCTCAGAGCCTCTGTGAGTCGTTCCAGTGAATTACTGAACCCAAAGGGGCAGTGGGAGTCTGCAGGTCAGAAGTGAGTGTATTGAATGGACTCCTGAGCTTGTGGCTAGCATCCTGAGGGGGGAATGGGAAACCAGCCCAGAAACTGTGGTCAGCAGGTCAGAAGGCTGGGGTGTCCTATGGACTCCCCAAGCTTGTGGCTGGCATTTGCCTATGTGGCAGTCTGAAGGACTGTGTCCTTTTAACTTGTCAGCTCTGACTGACCCAGCTCAGGTGGCTAGGTGCAGTGCAGTGAATTTCATTCATATGGCCTTTCTAGCCCTGGTCTTATAACTCCCACAAAATGACTGGCTGGGACTATGTAAACAAGGTCAAACACTTGCCGGGGATTGGGCAGTGACTATGCAAACAAGGTGCCTATGGCCTACCGAGGAGACTGGTCAGTTTTGCTATACTGCTAGGCTTAAAAGAGCCAATCCCACAGAGATTGATGGGGGACCTCACAATCATCAAGAAGAGCAGGGAGCAGAGCATGTCCTTTGGACCCAGGTTCCCTGTGTTAAGAACTTCCTAAACCCAGGAGAGAGAGAGTGCTGTAACAGTGGAAACAGATGCTGTGGGATAGCACGAGATGATGCAAGACGCCATAAGTGGTGAGAACCAGGACACTGGCAAGAGACAGCTGCGGTGGGCTTCCCAGCCCACAGAGCGAGGTGGCTGCAGTGGGCTCACCAACCCACAGAGAGAACTCAGTGTCTTCGAGCAGGAAGCTTCCTGGAAGAGTAGGGTGCCTCAGGGCACTTACAGGCAGAGCTAAAGAGCTACAACACTTGCCCGAGCAGGGCAAAGGCTGAGAGCGAGGGCCAGCGCTAGGCACAGCCAAGAGCGAGGCCTGCCTGCCTGTGGGCACGGCCAAGAAGCTGAGAGGTTGGAAGCTATCCTGACTGATGAACTGTATCCTATCTCCTGAGTTATTCCTGTTACTTCCAAATTTATCCTGATCCTGAATCGTAGCCTGTTACTTCCCTAATAAACCCCATAATTGTGAGTATGGTCTGTAAGTTCTGTGCGGCCATTGCAACAAATTATCAAATCCAGCAGAGAAGAAGAGTGCCGTGGGAGGGGCAGCTGGTGTCTGAATTGATTAAAAGGTTGGAAAGTGGAGATATGTCTGATCTCCACCTCAAAGGAATCAGCTTTGGGCTGACAGGGATTCTCATCTCTCCCCCTGAATTTCAGCAGCGTCTGACGCCACAACATTTCAGCAGGGTTGGAGAGACAGTGCCGCTTGGGTGGCTGGCAATGAGGATGAAGAAGTGCGAAGGGGAGGACTGGATTAATCTCCACATTTTGGGGACTGGATTCCCACCTTTCCTTACCATGCAACTGGAGATAAAGGTGGAGTTTGCTCCTTACTTAATGCACGACACACAGTAAATACTTTCCCATATACATAAGCAAATTTATATCATTTTAAAAGTTACAAAGTTTTGGTTATAACTTAATTCCCTGTTCTTCATCAAGGATTTCTAATTTTCCCCTTTTTGTTTTCAATGGTTCTATGATGTAATATACATACATTCGTATGTATTTGTTCTATTATTTTTTCAATATAAACTAATGCTTTTCATACTGTGTATCACGATTGTTTAATGGGGCACAGGCAGTATTAAAAAAAAAAAAAGAAAGAAAGAAAATAGAATAAACTGGAATGTATCACATATAGTGGAGCCCTGGTGGTGCAGTGGTTAAGCGTTTGGCTGCTAACCAAAAGATCAGCAGTTCTAATCCACCAGGTTGCTTCTTGAAAACTCTATGGGGCAGTTCTACTCTGTCCTATAGGGTCACTATGAGTCGGAATCGACTTGACAGCGATGGGTTTGGGTTTGGTTATCCCATACAGTAAAGGTGAGTATCGTTTTGTAAAATTTTTATTTTTGTAATTGTATGTGTACATGTATACTGAGAGGGATTTGCTTAAACATTTGAAAATCACTGTAATAAACCCTGGAAAACTGAATTGCTAGATCAAAGGGTATGTACTTCCCTTTAAAGCTTTCGGTATACACACTGCCACACTGCCCTCCAGAAAGGACAAAGCATTTTATATGACCCACCAATAGTGTATGAGTAACCTACTTCTCCATATTCACATCAAAAGAGAAATTACCATTCTTTTTAATTTTTATTGATCTGAAAGAAAAGAAAGGTACCATGATGCTATTTTAACTTGCGGTTTCTTATTCCTAGGATTGATATTAACAGTATTTGCCTTTTGTGAGTTGTATTTCCACAGTCTAAGAAAATTATTTCTTTCCAATTCTAAGAAATATTGAACTTGGTTTTGCTTATTATAAATATAGTTTTGGAATACTTAAAATTTATTATATAATTTAAAAGTACATAATACATTCATTTCATAATAAGCTGCTAATGTAAGTGGTCTCAACTGCCTTTGAATATTTATATTAACTTTGTAATCTTTGTTTGGCAAACAACATAATGCACAGGGTACGAGGAGATTTAAGTTTTAGGCCCTAATCATCCATGTGAACTCAGTAAGTGAATTATCCTCTCTGTACCTCTTTTTTCTTTTGTAAAATAATATAATGGGGAGTCTCCTGATTATCCTAAATTATTAAAAGTTAGTATTTACTGAGCACTTACCATATGCCAGGATCAGTGCTAAGTGCTTTAAATGCTTTATCTCACTTAACGCTAAAGTAAATATTCTTATAGCTAACAATTTAGAAATGAGGAAACTGAAAGTCAGAGAAATTAAGCAAATTAGCTAAGTGGCATGCCTGGAACACAAATTTAGGTCTGACTCAACAGCCAATATTCTTAATTGTTATAAGACACAAGATAGTTTTCTCATGCAAAAGTGCCAGGTCACAATTACAACTTCCAAAATTATCATACATTCATACTCCATGCCAGGCACATTCTCACGGAGATACTTTCTCTCATGAAGTTTACGTTCTAATGGTAAAAATCAACAATTTAACAGATAAATAAAAAAACATTTTCAGAAATGTTATGAAGAAAACAAAACAAGGTAATGGGACAGTAAATGACCAAAGGTGAAGTGTTTCTTTAGAGAGGGAAGAGAAAGAGGTTAGTACTTATGCTGACATGTTAATAATACTGTTTTCCATTACACAGCTAAAATTCACTACAATAAAAATAGTGTGAAAACATAAAACTTTGTGATTTTCTCAAATATATGTACTTTCAACACTCAAATGATTTTATACAATGTCTGGCTATAGCTGAGTAGGCACATGTTAACGAGCTTATTTTGTAAATGGACTGACTTTCTAAGAACTTATGCTGTCAATAAATAAAAAAGGATTTTCAGACATAATTTGTTTAAAGCAACAAACACCTATAAAAGTCAGTAACACTACCAGGGGGAATTGAATTAGTGAAATTAGACTAGACAAATGGCTCCCCCTGCTGGCTGAATCATGAAACCACAATTTGAAGAAAAATTACTTAATGAAAACCAATAGATAAAAAGGGTTTTAGGTTAATAATAAATTCCTTGATGTCAACAGATCATGCTTTTAGAGAGTAATGAGGAAAAAAATCTCTATAAACAATTTCTACCTGGAACCTTTTTCAAGAACTTATTGAGGAATATTTTGGGAAAATAAGGTAGTCACTGAGGGTAGAAGAAAACAACGCAACTTGAGCATATGCTGTATGCAAAATTTATCTCTTCTACAATTAGGCTCATAATACCATTTTTGTTAAACAGGTTATAATATGAAGAGTACAGGAAAGAAAAGCAAATCATACTTCAGCAGCTAAACATGACAAAGATCCTTACAGTTAACTAGCAAATATTACAAGTCTTAGTTCTAAAATTTCTGAATTTCTGAACAGTACAAGTAGTCCCCACATTTCAAGGCTTCAAGTACACTATTGCTCTATTTTCTTTCTTCCTTTTTTTAAGGTGTGTGCATCTTGCATCTTTTTTTATTTTTTCCTTTTAAAAACAGTTGAAAATACACTATATAAACAATTTTTAAATCCCTGAGAAGATTTACATTCACATAGTTCAAAAAGTAGAAAAAGCAACAAGGTGAAATATCTCCCTTTCCTCTCTCCACCCACAGGTAACCACTGTTACACGTAAAACCACAGAAACCATGAAGTAGGTAGCAATGCCTTGACTGTATGTATATGTGCTGTATAGGCTACGAGACCCTCTTCCATTCCTATTAAAGAGAAGGCTATCTTCCTCTCCTTTCCTATGACACCGCTGCTCTCTTCATTCAATGGGCCCTGATAAAGACCTTCACTCTACGTTTGACTATCAAATGGTTCACTTGACAAGTTTCACCACTGTCCTAAATAGGGCAAAAGCACAAGCAATTGGGAAATTACCTCTTACAGCTACTTACTTTAAGATAATCCAAACACTTGATGGCTCGAAAAACCAGGGCACACTATCCAGTAAGCAAGGTAAGCACGGGCTTGCTTGTGTTTACTTACTAATCTGCAGTGAACAATTTCACATGGGTTTCACTACATCTACTATAGATTAATAAGTAAGCCCGTGCTTACCCTGCTTACTGGGTCATGTGCCCCTGTCAGGGATAGTAAATTTGAGAAGAGGCATTGATTCTGTAGGAAGGCGCTGTGGGGTTGGGAGAGTGACAGATGCCAGCCATACCTAGAAGCATAATCTTTGATGTGGTGAAAAAATGTGAAATTGTTCACTACAGATTAGTAAGTAAGCACAAGTAAGCCTGTGCTTACTTTGCTTATTGGCTAATCCACCCCTGATCTGCTCTGTAGCAAGCACTAAAAAGTACCAAGGAAGGAGCATTTATAATTCCTTTAAGGATGGCAGTATTTTCCCAAATTCTTAAAACCAGGGGGAAAACTATTATATAATAAACCCACACAAGTAGAATCTGAATTATAAAAATACTGTTCCCCATCCTCCCACCCTTGCACTTCCCCAAAAGGACAACCATTTGCCAATCTTCCAAACAATGGATTTCTTTTTGCAAAAATTATCAGCGTAATGATGAAAGCAGTAAAGGAAATAAACTACCTCGTTCTTCAGGTGAGAGGTCACTATCCTCCTCTCCACTGCTTTCTTGTTCCTGAAGCCGATACTTGGGCTCCGAGCCTTCAACAGCAGACAATCTACACAACAATCATTTACACAGAAATCAACACTGTGGTATTCTTGTATTATTCAAGTAGCGTATTCAACTTTTGAGTATCATAAAAACATCTAAAGGTCATTACTATGCTAGCTATGACCTGATGAGGAAAATGAAAAGCAAGAGTGGGAATGATGCTAGAAATCAATGACTAGCAAAGGAAGAGAACGTTTGTTTTATCAATTTACTTATTATCTCACTTCCATCTTTAAAACCCAGGTGGTAGGATATTAAAAAGCCACAGAGGGCTGACACACCTCAGTATCTCAGGTTAAAGTACTCTAATCTTCCTGCCACCTGCATACCTTGACTTTAATGAAGAAACAAGATGATAAAGCTGGTATATAAATCCAGATAAGCTTAGCAGGTTTCTTATTGCACAAGTAAAGCAAAGTAAAATGTTTTTAAGTGTGCACAATTAAAAACAGCGCAAGTGAAAATGCTTGACAGTCATCAGTACTTACTTCTGAGCTAAGACATCAGGATTCATGGCTTCAGTGGCTTCTGAGTCACTCAGTGCATCTTCATCATCACCTATCATACTAGGATGACAAGCACATTATCATTAATGAATGCCTGAAACACAGTTTTGCAAGCAGAAAAAGATAGAGAAATATCACTCTACTGACTTAGTTAAAATACCAACATATTTAGAGCTCTGTTGTCATCTTCAAAGTTTAACCTGTTTCTGTTCAATGCAAATATTCAAAAGCACAGCACCCACCAAGAAAAGCCTCTGATAACCATAAAATTACTAGAAACATGAATCATCTGGGGAAAAAAAAACAAAAAAAACCTACAAAGTTTAAATTATTCCACCTAAGTGGAAGGGAACAAATAATTTTAAAAAAGAAAAAACAAAACAAAGACAAACCACGCCACACTGTTTGGTTTTAGAATATGTATTCGTACATTAACCTGAAGGCAGAGACACATTATTTATGCAGACATAAGACTAGGTAAAATAACAAAGATCCTAAACACCTTAGGAAATTTAAAAGCTATTTAGCTTTCCCAGTCTATCCACTGATGAAAAACTTGCACCTCACTTCATTGCAAAAATGGACATCCTTAATTCTGAAGCCACTGAAAGTACATAAAACAGAACTCTGCTATATTTTAAAAAACTGCAATGTAGAACTTTCCTGGTTAATTATGGAAACAAGTTAAGTGCAGTAGTTTAGATGATGCTCTTTTTTCCAAGGGAAGTTGAAGCAAACTCATTTACATTATTGGATTTAATTAAATAGAGCAGGGTAAAATAAACAACATAATTTGTCAATCTGCAATTGTTCTATAGAAAATACTAAAACCAAACCAAACCCATTGCTGTCAAGTCGATTCCGACTCATAGCGACCCTAAAGAACAGAGTAGAACTGCTCCACAGTTTCCAAGGAGCGCCTGGTGGATTCAAACTGCCGACCTTTCGGTCAGCAGCCGTAGCTCTTATAGCTGAGTTGTGTATGTGTGTCTGTGTGTGTTATCTATACGAGCAATGAGGACTTCCTGTATACTAAAAGTGTGAGATTTTTTGGGTAGTGTAACGTGATCTTTATATAAAAAGCATCTTCTTCTGTTACATAAAATTCTTAAAAAAAAAAAAAACCCACAAAAGGCATTGGTAAAAACCAAATCCTGAATTGATAAAAGCCAAGCACATATATTTGTGCAAACATGCAAGCACATAGCCTCAATTACTTAAAGACCAAATAACTTCTCAGCAACTCTCAGAGGAAGGATCTAAAAAGTAGAGGGAAAAAAAGCAGTATCAAATTATCTACCACTCACATTTATTATCTTTTAAATAACAGTCTAAAAATAATGGCTACAAATATATATACATGTATATCTATATGTATACATATACATTTTGAATTCTTTTAGGATAACCATCCCCAACCAACACAGATAAATTAAGTGATGGCTACTACATCTACTGGAAAGCAAAAAAGTCCTGATTTGGCTTATGGTACAATAAAGGTTTTAAGATATGTTTTAAAGTATATGCCTATAATTAGGAGAAAAATAATGACAATTTTTTAAATAAATGTTGTGTTTATTTCTTCCCTCACACTTTACTACTATCTAGTTTCAGTATCTGTACCTCTTATTTCCATTATCTTTCTACCTTTGTCACCATCTTTAACATCTTCATGTTTATTCTAATTTTTACTGTTTTCTGCTATTTCAAGTTATCTCAATTTATCTTCCAAAGTTTTCTTCCATGGATTTAAAGTATAGAATTTAACCCTATTTTTAGCAGTAACTACTGGATTTACAGTGTGTTACTTTGACGACAAAATACTGTAGCCCTGGAAATCGTTATTTTCTCCAATACAAGTTAGGGAATGATTTAAATGAGGTATTTCTAATTATTTAAAATCGTCATCTTCTCATAATTTTTACTGTAATCTTATTTTTGTCTTCATACCGATTATTGTTACACGTTACCATTTCACAATCGTTTTAAAAGCTGCCAAAAATCACAATGCAATTATCTGAACTAAATTATTATGTAATTAAAAAATAAGGATATGAAATAATAGTAACGATCACTTGCCTTTCAGTGTGTTAACCGAAACAGTTAACCATCTATGCAGTTATCCTCTTCTGCAAACAGAATGCATAAACCTCTGATTTCTACTTGGGAGGTAAATGAGCCTAAACCTCATTTTCCTTTCTAGAAACAGATTATTTTAAGGAAGGCAAAACTCACTACTCTCAGTGTCATCAGCAGCTAGGGACCACTGAGGTACAACAAATAAATGTTTGCTATTACAATCATAAAGTACAAAATGGATTCCGTAATTTAAAAATTACGCATTACTTATACTATTACACAAAAATATGCAGTTGGTATTAACCAGTGCCCCAGTAACAAACATAAAATCAAACACAAATTCAAATCAGCTGTTATCTAGCAGTTGAACTCAAACGTAGAATGAAAACAAGTAAAAAAAAAAGTCAAATGTTGATATAACATTACCTATGGTAAGGAGTGCTAGGTTCATCTATTTTCATTAAACCATAGTCTTTGTCTGCTGGATGATATGTTGCCAGGATGTTCATTTCATCCCACTTCTGGGATTTTTTCCTAAAATTAAAGAGGAAAAAAAAAAAAAAGTCCCCAATGCAGGAAAAGACCAAAAATCTGCACATCTAAAATTTATAAACATCCAAATTTCACGTTTCAACTTCTATTTGACTGATAAACATTATTTTTACATACCCTTTCTTTGAATAGAAATCAATTTAGGGTAAAAGCCACAAGCAATTATAATAAACTGCCGGTAAATATTTTATAGAATACTTATTTCCCACATATTAAAAACACAGTATTTAGAATCTACATCAGGCATTCAAAAACACTCTGACATGCTTAGTCTTCATGTGGCCCTACAGAATTAATAACAGTAAAAATGGAAAATTTATACATTGTTTGATCTCAGTAGTTAAGAATTTTTAGTTTGATAATACAACACGGGTATCTCCTTGGCCTAATTTCAGGGGTATCTATAACAATCAAAAGAATCAGAACATAAAACTTCAGGGAAAACCTCATTAAATTCAGACACCACTAAATAATTAGGTTGCAAGTAAAATTATAGCTCAGTTTTTTAATCTAGGAAAATAAGGGTTGTATTCAGATACATTGGGAGACTCAAAACTGCTAAAGATCACATGCAAAGATCTGAACTACAATATTATATGAATTAAAAGATATAGACACGAAACAATAATAATGACCATCCGCCTTTAACTGAGTTCAAAAAAAAAGTTTGTTATCTTGGTTATGTACTTGAAAATAAAACTGCTTTAAAAAGAAACAATAATGTAGATTTTACACTGATTCTGCATTTGGTCCAAATTGCTAAGGTTTTACTGCAGATATATCCAACTTTCTTAACCAATACCCAGATCCTGAAATGCCCTGAAAGAATGACAAATTTAATTTTTAATGTCATACTCCCTTCTCCATGCACTCCAAAAGGGTTTCATGAGTACCTTAAAAATTACACGTGCCCACTCATAGTAGCTAAACTGACTTTATGTTCTTCTGCTTTCTAACCAGATGGACCCACACAGTCCCCATTTCAGACTAGGCACTTTTGACTACAATGTCCTTTCAAGCCTTTTACCCTTTGTTTTCTCAAGTGGCACCGGCAGAAGGCTGGTCCTGACAGCCACTGCTCGAGTGACCAAGTCTACAACCTTCACTTTGCCCCCAAGTTGCACAGAAGTTGCCTAATGTCTCTTCGCCATGAAAACTAAAACTTAAGACGTATGGGTCCTTAACTTCAGCACAGAAACTAGATTTTCTTTGCTTTTAAACAGCTGGCTTTCTATTCACTCAGCATGGAATTCCTATGAATATCCACTCAATTCACCTGATGTTTCAACTAATCAAATTAAAATGTCACTGGTATGAAAAAAGTCACTTAATCAAACTAGACTGGGGTTAAATAAACTGTCCATACTGATTTCTTCAGATGCCTAGCTTCTGGCTGTCTACCACAGCAATAGCTGGTCTTGTGGAGGGAAAAAAAAAGTAATTCAAAGACAGACACTTAAGGTTCAAGTTCCAGTTACTTTCACTAGCCCTGTGACTATAAGAGGAAATCCAACAAACATTCTCTCTTGGTCTATTTTTATTCTACACGGAAATTATAACAAAATAGAGTATTAATAATAGTCCTTCTTACTTTATAGCGCTGTTGGGAGAATCAACTGAAATAATGTCTGTGAAACCAACTTATAAAAACACCATACAAATATAAGCAGTTTTGTGATTTAAAAATCTAAAGTTTCGGGTTAAAAGTCCGGAAACAAGATCTCGGCACGTAGGGAATGGGTTCAGACAAGTCATTCTGAAAAAAGTTTAAATTGCTTTTGTACTGAATTCCTTCTGCCTTGGTCTTACAAGACTTGAAATTCAAAGTACTTTGAAATATTTAAGATACGCCATAGAATGAGGATTTCTAAAAAACAGTTTTAGAAATTTTATTTGCTATTAAATAGCTCTATTCTATACAAATTTCTGTACATTTAGAAGGCGAATGATTAGGTCTGCTCATGGTCATATTCTATAAATGAAACTCACAGTGAAAAGAGATACACTTTCAAAGATTTAAGAAGATAACAGAAACGATCAAGGAGCTTCTGATTAATAGGATAACGAAAGAAAAGGATATAAGCTTTAAGAGACGGAGATTAATTTTGTGAAGAAAGCAATCCAATTAATAAACAACAGAAGACCCGAGATACCATAATTAAATGTTCCCTCCTGATAAATAATGCCTCAGAAATGACAGCCAGTGTTAAGTCTGAGTCAGAATAGAAAAGCATAGGTAAAAGTTCCATAAAACCTATACTAATAGATAGTCCTATTTAGATTTCTTATTAAAAATACTACAAAAGAAAACTGTGAGTCCCTGGGTGGTACAGTTAACATGCCCAGCTGCTAACCAAAAGGATGGAAGTTCGAATCCGCCCAGAGGTGCCTTAGAAGAAAGGCCTGGTGATCTACTTTCACCAAAAAAAAACCAGCCACTGAAAACCCTATGGAGCACAGTTCTACTCTGACACACAGGGTTACCACGAGCTGGAATCGACGGCAACTGTTGTTGTTTTTAAAAGAAAATTAGCACATCTCCACTTCAATAAAGTTCCAAAGCAGGAAAAACTAAAGTGTTTAGAAATGCGTTTCTAGGTGATTATCATAAAAGTCAGGCTTCTATGAGGAAGAAGGAGGAGACTGCAACTAGAAAGGGCAGACACATTCCTGAGGTGATAGAAAAGCTCTCTCTTGACCAGAGTAGTGGTTACATGGGTGTTTGCTTTATAATAATTTCTTAAGCTTTACATTTAACACACTTTTCTGTATGCATATGTGGTATGATGGATTTTTTTTTTTTATATTGTGCATTAGATCAAAGTTTACAGAGCAAATCCATTTTCCTTTTGACAGTTTGCACAAGTATTTCATGACCTTGGTTTCATTCACCACCACGTGTCAGCACTCTCCCCATTTCCACCCTGGGTTTCCCATTTCCTTTAGTCCTGATTTTCCACCCCTTCCTGCCTTCTCATCTTTGCTTTTGGGCAGATATTGCTCTTTCATCTCCTATAAGTAATTGTTTTACGGGAGTGCATTTCTCTCGGGTGTTACGGTTTATTTTATGGGCTTGTCTATTGTTTGGCTAGAGGTGGTCTCCAGGAAGGGCTTCAGTTCCAGGTCAGAAGGATGTCTTAGGGCCATAGTCTCAGGGGTTCCTCCAGTCTCTGTCAGACCAGTAAATCTGGTATTTTGTGAATTTGATTTTTTGTTCTGCAACTTTTCTCCCGCTCTGTCTAGGACCCTCTGTTGTGATTTCAGTCACAGCGGTCAATGACGGATCACTTTTATATGGCCTTTCTAGCAGGGCTTCAAACCAGTTCAGTCATGGCCCACAACGTGAAACAGGAACAGGCTCGAAGTTTTACAACTTGAGTGATTCGCCACGGTACCTGGAACGGGAAAAATCACGGGTCGAAGCCCTGGAATGAGAGACTTGGAAGAGGTGTAGTGAGCCCTTTCAGGACTGTGCTGAGATTGGATTATTGACAGGACAGTAGACACAACACACATCCAAAGCGGTGCGGTCGGCCACCATCTTTGAGTAGGGCAGCGCTGTTTCCCAATCTGCTCAAAATCTGAGGGCAAGAGATTTGGTTATTCTGCAACACGTACACTGCCCTTGTTTTCTAAGAGGGAGATTAAGTTTCTAGCTGCACTTCAACCCATAATTTTTCCCATTCCAGGTACCATGGTGAATCACCCAAGTTTAAAAAATTCAGGTCTGTTCCAGTGATGCTTCCTTGGCCACAACTGAACTGGGAAGAACCAGTTCAAAGTCCTGCTTTCTAGCCATGGTCTTGTAACTCCTACCAAAAGACTGGGTGGGACTGTGCAAATAAGGTGCATGGCACTCTTGTGGCGTTGTTGTTGTTAGGTGCTGTCGAGTCAGTTCCAACTCATAGCGACCTTATGTACTACAGAAACACTGCTTGGTCCTGCACCACGCTCACGATCGTTGTTGTGAGCCCATTGCTGCAGCCACTGTGTCAATCCATCTCATTGAGGGTCTTCCTATTTTTCGCTGACCCTGTACTTTACGAAGCACGATGTCCTTCTCCAGGGACTGATCCCCCCCTGACAAACATGTCCAAAGTCTATAAGACGTAGTCTCGCCATTGTTGCTTCCAAAGAAGCATTAAGGTGTATAGAACCCTAATGAGGGGATTGGTCAGTTTTGCCACCTCACTAGGCTTAAAATGAGCCATCCCAGAAGCAAAAAGGGGGACCTCATTACCACTAAGAAGAGGAGACAGGAGTGGAGCATATCCTTTGGACCTGGGGTCCCTGTGCTGAGAACCTCCTAGCCCATGAGAGACAGAGAATGAAAGAGAGAGCTGTAACATTAGAACAGTACAAGACGGTGACAAGCGGTGGCAGAGAAATGGCATCAGCAGAACCAGGAGACCAATGCAAGACAGCACAGTGAGCTTCCCGATCCACGGAACAAGGCAGTTACTGTGGGCGTGTTGACCCATGGAGCGAGAGAGCCAAGCGCCTTTGGACAGGAGGATTCCTGGCAGAGTGGGGTGCCTCTGGGCACCTGTCAGTTGAGCTAGGCTTGCTGACTCATGGAGCGAGAGAGGTGAGTGCCTTCAGGCCGAAGCTTGCAGGCGGAATGGGGTACCCCCCACACACTGGTGGAGCTAAAGAGCTTTGCAACATTTGCTCAAGCAGGGCAGAGGCTAGGCTGAGGGGCCAAGGGCCAGAGAGAGACCTGTCTGTTGGCGTGGCTGAGAAGAGGCTGTCCTGATCAAAGAACTGTACTCTAAGTCATTCCTGATCCTGAATTGTAACCTGTTACTTCCCTAATAAACCCTATAACTGTGAGTATGGTCTGTGAATTGTATGGCCATTGCAATGAATTACCAATCTATCAGAGCAGTAGAGTGCTGTGGGAGGGACGGCTGGTGTTAGAATTGGTAAAAAGGTTGGAGGGTGGAGGTTATGTCTGACCTTCATCTCACAGCAATCAATCT